AGACAGAAATTCGAAGTGCTCTAGCTATTATGCCCTTTGGGCTCCAATATATTATATATATATACCGACCCATCGAACAGTTAGAATGACGTTTTGGGAAACTGCAGGGGTCAGCAAACGAGCACATCTCGGTGATGAAAAAACATATGTGTAAGATTTGGACGCATTCTAACTTGATGGAGAAACATTTAGGAGTTCGTCTCCCCATGTTATCTTCCAGTAGCTTCCAGTGGGGCAGTATAGTGGGTTACGTAGTTTCTATTGCCGTACCATATTGCCAATGATCCCCGTTCATGTTTGGCTTTGAATATACTCGAGACAAGGGAGGAGGAGTGGGAGGAGGTATAGAGGGTTGTGAACTGTTCATCGGCTGCATCTCTAAGGCGCACGAAAAAGCTAACGCTGCGGTAGATCAGCCCACCAATCCCCCACTTATGGTTGATTGTGAACCCAATCCTTGGGTGTTACCGAAACTGCTACGTGGCTGTATGAGAAGCAATCAACTTCCAGTTGGAATCCACATATACAGCCAAATACTGAACAAACCTATTCTGAACCTACTTCTGCCCGTAACCTTTCTTCAACCAATGCGCCCTTGAGAACACCCGAAGATATTAACATACCTTTGAAACAAATTAACATACACACAGTCACAACTGTCCAATTTGATCCACATCTCTTAAATTAAGCATTCATACACATCCATGTTGCAAATGGTTTCAAAGCGCATATTGGTTGGCAAACAACATCTCTTCCATGTGCGTCTTAGTCATTCATGTTGCTGTTCTTGTCGTTGTCGTGGTTGTGGTTGTTGCGGAAACCCAAAGACCCTTCTCCCGCGTCGGACGTCCGCCTCAGGCGTCGGATGCTTTTGGCCACGCCCAACAGGAGCTCTGGTAGGGGGAGCTCCAACCTGGGCAATGAAAAAAGGGCAGTTCCCTGAGGCCCCAAACCTGACCTTTATTCTTGAAGATGTGATAGGTGTATCCATGTGTGTCCTATGTCCTATACATCCTATATGGTTCATCTTGATATCACACCTTGAGATGGTTTGTATTGTAGTGTAGTGGGTTTAGGTTTTCATAAGGTTTCTATATGCTGAGCCTCTGGACCCTGAAAATACGCATCCCTTAGTGTGAGCGCTACATTGATTTCATAAGAATAGTGGGGTCTCCTTCCTTGGGACGTGATCTTGGTCATTTCATGATGTTTCAACATCTTTGTTTGCAAAAAGGTCACTGCGTTGTCTTTCGTGCATTGTGACAATGCCTCGCCCATAGATGACAGCTGCATCGGACAGTGTTCCATGTGTTCGCTGAATCGGGTACGTACCACCCAAGTTGCAGTGTCCGCGTCATTGCAAGGAAGAAGGACAGTTTCTGTATATGGCATATTATTTGTATACATAACAACAAAATGACTCCACACAATGGCTTCTTTTTGTGTTATTGTATACTCACGAACGTTGTAGTTTATAGGGGTTTCAGACTGACAGAGTGTATGGTGGTCTTGGTCTGGTGCAGAACTAGATGGGTCCAGTAAAGGGGTTTCAATTATTCTCTTTGGCACTGCCTGGGTCTGGGCTTTAGGATGGTGTTGGTGCACTAAATTGAATAAAAGTGTGGCGAGGTACAGGTCTCAGCCTTCTGAATAGGGTCAGGAACGATTTGGTGGGTCTCGTTTCTTTTGTGTTTCTCTTTTTGCTCGGAGGCCACCTCCTTACCTTCAGGGTGCCCTCCTTGATGGACCTTTATTGACTTGGAGGACACCTCCTCTACTAAGATTCGATGGCACCTGCAGTGCGGCATTCAACCAACTTTAGGTAGGCGCCAAATTCTTGCAAACATAATGGTAGCCCCCGGTCCTTTGACGGCACATTTCTCGGCTTGGAAATCAACAGAGTCTCAGAGTCCTTTGACAGCACAATTCTCTGCTTGGAAATCAACACAGTCAAGCCCTCTTGCTAATTCGCCTCTGGCATTGGTCTCCAACACTTTCTGCAATCCAGCTTTGGAGAGATGCATAGTACTGGTCAAAAACTCTGATTGCTGGCTACCCGCGATCTGCGATGCACCGTGTTCCGGTTACCATCTCGGATGCCTAACGGTGCGACGACGCGCCGCTTGAAGAGCCTCTGCGAGTCTGGGATTCTCGGGCCCAGTATATATCTGCAGACCGACCCAAGACCAAGAGACCATTTGGACCTGCCTTTGTACGAAAAACCCTTCCAGTGATTTGACCGCTCTCCGGTTTTCTCCGCTCTCCCAAACGGGACCTCCGACGGCGACCTCGGCCGGGCGACAAGTCCAAAAAGGCCACCAGGGCGGCAAAGAGCCCGGTGACCTGAGTGCGGCAGGGGTGGTGCAGGTGGATTTCCAGGTGTTTTGGAATGGTCAAAAGAGAACCACTGGGAAATTGGGATGAAAAGTCTACATGACTAGCTATCCCAAATTTAGGTGTACTCACTCACGTATACTCAAACCTTTGAGTTCACATCATCTTAATATCGTCTAGAGTCATGTTCTATACCTGAGACTCTCTGGCTCAAGCCTACTTGGACCGGACGAGTGGGAGTGGGAGGACGGCAGGACTTCCGGCAGCTTCCAGTGTGGACCCGAAGAAGTATTTCAAGACTTTATTTGGGGAACAGGATGAATCGGATGAACATGTTCCCTTTGTCCTTACCTAGTTTCTGGAATGATACACCAGCACCACCCAAAGAATGGCTTATAGAGCCTCCTCACCATGAGTTACCATCAAATAACCACCCAAACTGAGTGCTGCGGTGCCTTCCACTTGCGCACAACCCTCCCAGAATGCCAGGCCTATCCGCAGCGACACTTCTTCATCCTCCAAGCGACCAGCAACAACAAGTCAAAAAGCCCGCTGGCTGAAAGGACCTGAAAATCGTGGCACAAAGCCGCAGAGCGGCACAAAATCGCGTCCTGTGTCGAGGCGATGGCTTCTGAACAAACCACAAATTGATGAGAAATGAGAAGGAAAGTGATCTCTTCAAAAAAACAAACTATATTGGTGGCATCATACTGTCATTCTAATGTTTCACAGGGAGCATTGATTGGCTGGGATCTTCAGTTGACCTTAAGTAGTTGGGATGCAATGCCGCGAATACCAACATGAACCAATAAGCAAACATAGCTCTGTGAAACAATTCCCATACTCATCGCGTTGAGTTAGCATGGAAGTATGGGCTCTTGAGTATCAGAAAATGAGGCGTTCTGGCCCTGGCAATCCTGCAGTCTTCTGCAACCCTGGCACTGTCTTTGGAAAACCAATATGGATTCCGGGAAAAAGAATCCTCGCAACTCTCACACCTGTGATCCATTGCGATCCCCTAGCTAGATTCTTCATACAACCGCCCTGCAACAAACATTGAAGTGGACAACCCCTCAGTCCCTCAGTGGTCATTTTCCACTTCCACAATGATTGTTGGAGAGAGGGTATGTCTATATATATATATATATAGCAGCAGGATCACATACCTTTAATGTCACAAAGCGCCAAGGATCGTATTGCATCCGCAGCGCGTGACTGCGCAAGATGTATTCCACGAAAAATATGAACAGGAACAAGACCTGCAGTGTGAATACCGGGTGCTTGGACCACAAACGAGCCACTGGTCATGCTGGTGTCGGGAACTGGCTGTGAGAAGTACGAGGGCTTGGACACCAAGCCAAGTTGAATTCTCAATGGACAAACCACACACACATACTTACACATCCCCAAACACTCAGCCCTTCCATGAAATGCAAGCCCAAGGTACGCTAATCAGATAATCTATATATATATATCATGTCACGAGTTAGCAAAAAAAGTAAGAAATGAGTTGCAAGTTCAACCCTGATGACGCGTGAAGGCCCGCTTTGATACGTTACCAGCCGCCCAAACCCTAAGACCACCGAGTCACCGCATTCCTCGTCAAACAAATTATATCAAATTACATAAAATTTGAAGATGCATCTGGCCTCCAAACGTTTCCCATGGCCCATGGTGATTCCAACATACCTTCAACACCCCAGTCCAATCCTGAGCCAATTGTAACCGGGTCGTCACATCAGAACATCGGTTTCTCCGCATCCTGTTAACCACATCGTCACCTCTGTGTAGTGGGGATGTGATGGGATCCTACTGGCCACCCCATTCACGGCGTGGGGATGCTGAGGGTCTGTCTGAATCATCTGAAGCCTCTCGGTGATGGAGGTTTCAAGGTTGAACAGTTGAACATCAACATGGCTTGAAACCAGTCAGCAAAGACCTAGTTGACCTAGTTCTGTTCAAGTCGACAAGGCTTTATCCGGAGATGATTCCCTTACAGCGTGACCGTTCTTGCAACGAAAAAAGGGATATCTTGCAGCTTTTTTCACCACGCCAGCTTGAGCTACATGTCTGGGTCAAGGTTGGTGAAGCAAAGGCCTACATGGCCTACATCTGAATGCGCCCGGGACACACCTTGGAGGCTTCAGAACGTGGCAGTGGCCGTGTCAGACCACAGCCCACCCATGCATCTCAGGGACATCGAGGAAGAGGAGGCCGATGGCCCATCGTTTCAACCAGGTCTCCTCGACCTCTAGCTCCAAGCTCACCTGCTCTGGAGGGGTGGAGAGTGGAGGAATGTGGATCCTCTTTGACACCAAAGAACGGTGAACACGGGTTTACATTCTACACAAAAGAAAGAAAACATGTTCATTTGTTGTTACCAGTTCTTCAAGGAGCGAGTATGGCCGACTACAAACAAAGGATGGTGGAAACTTCTCATCATTTATTGATTCGCAGGATGCAATGGTCCCGATCTGTGATGTTGTATAAGAACTGCAATCGTAATACAAAAACAAGACCGAAACGGGCAAGTCTCCTTACAATGGAATCCTAAGCAATTATAGAGGTTGAAGGCCAAAATACAGTATCCCAACATCCAACCCCCCGCGGACAAATCGCCGAAAAGGTCGGCCTCGGCGCCCAGCACAAGACTTTGGAAGGCAATGATCGCTCCCATGAAGAGATGTCCTTCCTCGTCTCGTGTGGACGAAAAAACAAAAAAAAAGGTGTCCAAACACCTCGTCGTGTAATTTTGGTGGAGGATTTGGAAGATGTAACACACGGAGGAATGCTTTTGGAGGACACAGTTCGGCATGAACGGATGATCTAGCGCTCGGTGTTGTTGGGTGCGCGTATCATTCATCTATATTTATAATATTCTATAGTAATCCATTGGACAGTTGACTTACCTGAAGTATTCCCATTCAAATCTTTATTGTGGGTTGGGACTCGAGAAAGCCTTTTTGGTCAAAAAAAACTTGTTGCACGCTACAAAATAAAGGGCACTGACCATAAGTATGGTCGAACTCATCTGAAACATAATCTGAAGGGCCCTAAGTTGAACAGTTGATTTTCTAGATGATTCGAGAACCTTACAATGCTCAAATCCGAAGAAACCTCAAGAATTTGCACGGAAGAGGCGTGAAATTGCCGTACACGTCTGCGCCTACTAATTACATTTATACAATTACTATTTGCCACCAAAGCTGTTGAATCGCGTCCCAACGCAACATATGCTCATTTTACCAAATAGAGCAACGTGCTCATTTCAAGGAAACACACACTCATTTCATGGCCCATATGCCTCACAAATCATATCATGCTTGTAAACCATATGATCAGAAACTTAAAGGTGCAACATGTTGGGCCTGGAACCACACATTTGAACTACTATATGGGCTATACGATACCGACGCACTTGAACTACTATACGGACTATAAAAAATACCCTTCTACAAAATGACGTGGTTGATCGTGGTTGTAAAATAATAATCATCATGTGACTATATATGTTTCCTACAAATTAGGCTTTAAAGCTGCCTCCAGACCCGGAAGGAACATCATACACTTCTTGACAAATCTGGATCTCCTTCTCCTGTAGCATCAAATGGCCAGAAACGGGTCCTCCAAGATTCAGGCGCATCTTATGAGACCAACACCTTGAGCCTATTCATGTTCACAAATCCAGTGGCATCTGATGCTTCCCAAGATTCCCAGTGACCGTGATCCTGTGATCTTCCAAAAGACACTGGGACCAACTTTGGCATCCAATCACTTCACCTAGATCCAAAGAAAGACCAAGCCAGCAAGATTCTCGGGATCCTATTTGTTTTAAAGGAAAGCGCCTGTGTCGGAGACTCAATGTAAATATTCAATTTCCAACATATGCTATGTATATGTGTATAAGATATTATCCATATAATAACTATATATATATATACAGTACAACTTAACTTTAACCTTAAATTAATGCACACAATCTCACTTAAGGGTATAACTATATATCATATAAGAACAACAACTGGTTTGGGAGTGGCCTCCCTCATTGAGTTTGGCGCGACTGGAGCTTTTTCGTGTTGGCGCCCTGGGGCGCGTTCCCAAACACCCCCGTTTAGGCGTCGGCGTCCAAGGCGCTGCTGAGAGGATCCATGCCTCCGCATGCTTCTTGTGCGAACGCACAAAGTCGCCATGCACACGGTCAAGCTGCAACCACTTCGGGGAGTGCCTGGGGAGAGGAAGCCGCTGTGGATGTGGAGGCTTTTCCCAATGTGGCATGAAGATGCAGTTGGTGCTGCGTCATTTACTTTCTTGCCGACTTCCACTGCACCTGATTGCAGTTTTGGCTTTTAGACGTAATATAAAGGGAGCTGGGTGGAGTTCGGCCCCATCCAACAAGAACCTGACCCCCCTCTCAAGGGAACGAACGGACCCTGGCAGGAAATAGACCACCCAGCCAGGCCACTGTGGAAATCAGTTCTCACTGTCCAAGTCAACACCCTGACCAATCTGAGGGTCTGGGATGGTCAGAGGGTGTGAAGTATATACATATTACATATAATTCCAAACATGGTTGGGCGAGCAGTATGAAGCAGAACCTAAACCACACGGTGCAGTTCGCCGAAAGAAAATAATCAAATCATGTCACCCAATATCACCCACAAACCAATGAAGTCCTGATAACGATAGGCAGCTAAGTCCTACCAAAGTCAAGGTTTGCCCTGGTCTAGCAGGTTCCCTACTAGGTTCCCTTTCTCTCTCAGGATCGCAACCCCCACTTAAGGCCCTGCATCTCTGTCGATCCACTCCAAAAATAATAAGGACTCTTCCACAGGCCCGGACATCCCACGATACAACTCTAAACATTTCCATTTTGACAGAGAGGTCCTGAAATCCTCCTTCATCCTCCTCCCCCTGCTTCGTTCCACTCAGGTGCCTGACGTCCAACAGCCCAGAGGCTTTGCTCCGCAGCTTCGGCGAGGCTTTGCTCAGTGAGCTTTCTCTGCTCAGCGGCGGGGCTTCAGCCAAAGCCATCGGTCATGTGCGGCCAGCTCCCCGCACCGTTCTGGGTCCGATGGTAAGAGTTCATGAGGTTCCTTTTCTGCTTTCTTTGTTTCTAGTAGCAATGGCCTCCAACCTACTAGGTCAAAGTTCTTTTGATTTGAAACATGAGATTGGGCCTGTGGAAAAAAGGGGCACTCCTCTCCATTGTCTCGACGTGTCTCAATTTTTGATAAATATTGGAAAGATAGATGTCAAGTTCCCCCACGTGACCATAGCCTTTCTTAACAAGAAACAATATGATGGCTTGCACATCTTAGGGAATGTGAAACGTGCAGTGTATAATCTCCCTAGATCACAAGTTCTCCTAACGTGAGCAGATTTCTGAAGGAGGTGTCGTCTCTAAGCTGACATGCATCGAGACAAACGGGAGTCCAATAGTATACGAGCGAAATCCCTAGAGGATCCCATGTGCAGTAAGCATGCGGGTGTGTTCTAGAATACTGCAACCCCCCCAATCAAGCGACTTGACTGATGCAAACGTAGTTTAACTTTTGGGGTTTTCCTATGCCAAAACACACCCCATGCAGAACTAGGATCTTCAGCTACGTTTCGAGTCTTTGACTCTCTTGTCATAGGATTCCTACCTCGCTCTGATACAATACCAGCCTATTGGCACAAAAACCATAGTCATATCGAGCCCAAAGCCACGAGTGGAGGGTCGGGGAAGCAGGCTGATTTCTGCATTCCAGCCAGGAATCCTGCTTGCCCAGCCGAAGATGCAGTGGGATCGGCCCAGAAGAAGCCAGTCATTCTTGTACAGTCCCACAAAGCGCTGTCAGGGGCTAAAAAGAAAACCAACAGGAGAAACTAACTCTTGTACAACAAATGCCTACATCAATGTGAACCAGTAAACCAGATATAAATGGACCACAATATGGAGCCTCCCAGTTGGCTCGAGAAAACTCAGTTCTCTCAATCGGGCTTTATGGAGGCATATGGAGGCACCACATGACCTCGGATCTTTGTATTCAAAAATGTTCTATATAACACCAACAATAGTACACGCGTGAATACTGTCGCACTGTACGGCTGAAACAAATACTGAGAACAAACAACCAAACTGCATCACCCAAGAGGCTATACAGCGAGCCAATTTTGCACCGGTTTGCCACAGCATCTCTAAAACACACCAAACCAACTCCAACTGCCATGCACACTTGCAGAAGTTGCAGGGGTCTTGGCAATTTGATGAAAGTCTCAGCAGCTAGAAAAGCTCATATATGGAAATATAATGACACACACACATATATATGTATATATGAATTCATCAAGACGACAGTTTTTGTGGAAATTGCAGACGGGGAACTCTCCCTTGCAAAATACATCATAATAATCCAGGAAAGAAAACAATATACAGTACATATAGGGCAAGTCTTTTCTGTGGGGTACAAAGAACACCTCCACCAATGTTGTCCACACCAAGATTGCAAAAACATGAGTTCAAGTGAACCTTCGTGAACCTTTTTCTGGGGCGTGCTCAACACGGTGGGGACATCGGGAGATCGTGTAGCTGAGAGTTCCTGGATCTTTTAGCCACAGCGAGCCACATCCATCTGATCTGATCCATCTCCAATAACAAATTAAGACACAAAAGACTTCTCATCTCCAAGCGGCACAGCCTTCCTGGAGGAGCTCGGGCGTGGCCAACAAGCGCATGCGCCGCAGGACTTGCCAGCTGATACTCTCCAAGATCAAGGTCTCGTTGTCTGCACGTGCGCGCGCGCGACGCGGGTGTGAGTGTGAGCACGAGACGTTGCCGTCCTCGGCGGTTGTTGGTCCGAGGTCTGGTCTGGAGGCTTCAGATGGTGTTCTCTTTTCTCCAGGTGAAGCACTGGAGACTTAGTGTTCTCTTGGGACTTGTCTCGGTTCCAGATTCTTTGTGGGAACTCTGGCGCAAAGGAGTCACCTGCATTTCGATGGTGGATGGTCCTGCAACTTTCAGCAAGAGAGGGTCAAAGGGATTAGAGTCGATTAGAGAGAAACCACTGAATGCCACCTGTGTACAATATGTGTAAACAGCCCAATGTTCATCCACTGTCCATGTTCATCATTTGTCTTGTTCTGTCTCGGCTTCTTCGGTTTCTATTATTGGTCTCGTATATTCACTCATATCTGATCTGTCCTGGTATCGAACTGCCTAATCGTATTAGGTCGTATCTATATTGGCGATCGGACGGCCACATCAGGACGCCACATCAGCACCCAGGGCGACGCCGGTCCGCTGGACCGTTTTGTGGCGGCTCAACGGGGGCGAAGCCGAAACATGGACGAAATGGATGATCTGTAAAACCCTATTGAACCCCCCCCTAGGATGGCGGTATAAACCTCGGATGCTGAGTAGAAGGGGTCTGACCTAGCAGGTCAGTGAATTTGCAAGTATAGTATGTATATAGACCCTGTGTCCCTGTGTCATAGATAGAAAAGGTAGATCCCCACGTAGAACATGTATTGGAAACCGATTATTTCTATCTATCATCTATATGTTTGGGGACCACTATAAGGCCTGAAGAGGTTTTCAATCCATGTCTGGGACCACTGCTCCGGAGGCACCAAAACACCCTCCTTGACACCTCTTTGTTGGAAGCTGCACGTGGTTGAAAACCCGCCTTCCGAGGGGCCATGGTTTTTGGTGCATCAGTCTGGAAGTTTTCCGGCCATGTTTGTTTTCTTCTGCTTTTACATGGTCGGATTGGACCACGGCCGGGACCACGGTGACCACGGTCACCACACCCAAAACCTCACCGCTGCACACCGCTTGACCACGGCTTGATATCCAGGGAGGTCGAGGGACTGCTCCAGTCGGCGGGCGGAGACCAGTCGGATTCGAGCTCCTGGGAAGAGAAACATGAAGAGAAACCAAAGGAAACCCGGCACCACCTGACATAAGCAAATACTACTGACATCTATTGACAGTCTTGGGTCTTGGGTGTAGACTATATATAGGTGCAGAACTCTTTCAAAGGCATGGTCCATCTACATCCTGAAGATGGAGCAAAAAATCCAACAAATCTATGTTTAGGAAGGTTGTTGGAGGTTGGAGAGGATAGGACATGGGAGAATCTAACATCCCACATCATAGACGTGGGATAAATGAAAAGAATGAGTGGTTCCAAATCGGAACAATCTTCTGGCTGAGGGAGGCCTCTGGCTCTGGATGTTTGTCTTTGTGAGGTCCAACTTGGATAGGGCGAACGTGAAAGCCATGAGAAGGTCTTCATGAATTGCGCCTGAAGAAGTGCCACACCAAGATGAAGCCACACACCTCTATAAAGATGCACCTTCCTTGAATCCACCTAACGTATGCCCGCACTGTACACGGACCAGGACTTCTGATTCTGGCTGTAAGGTCGGGAAATCTGTTTGCGACGACTCAACAAATCGGGTGGTCAGTGAAGAATACGTGTAGATGACATTTGGAACTCTTGGAATCAAGTTGTCCTAAAGCATATAGTGTAACACATTTCACATTTCTATGATCTTAGGCTTAGACCCTCTAAGACCGCTTTCAAGCTCCGCACATCTAAGCAAATCTTGTGCAGACAGGCACACACACACACATCTAAGACTTCTGTTGCGACTGTTGCATTCAAACCTCTTGTAAACACCACCTATCTGGCAAACCAACAATTAATGCCAACAGCATCCTCTTGGACTTGCTGATCGATCTAGACATTGCAACAACAACAACAACAACAACAGCAGCAACCACCACAGTCACAACGAGTCCCAGCAAAATCTAGTTATATACCAGAGTTTGTACATTCTAGGGAGCACACAAACAGTAAACCTGATCTACACAAGCAATTCCAAATCCCAGGTCCTGCAAGTAGTAGTGATGGTCGCGGTTGTTTGTGGGTAAAGGCTGATGGATCCAGATTTGATGTCCATCGACAACTGTGAAGCCGGGATGGTCTACACCTGCACGCCAGAGACTTGGGTCAGCTCATATATTGAAGCTCCTCAAACCTTTCCTTTTGCAGCAGACTGTCAATGAAACAAATCAAGCAGCTGTGGGTGGGTATCGGATATGATCCATGACGCCGGGCAGGACTTCAGCCGTCCTCCATCAGCAACTATTTGGAGTTACCCTCCTGGCACCCCTGGAGCCAAAGGAGCCAAAGCTTCACTGGCATTCTCATGGATGGTATGTAAATGCCGAGTCCCTCCCAAGATAAAGTGTTGGACCAAACTTTGTACCTAGGCAAAGGACATAGAAATAGCAAAGAAAATGCTCCCATCAGGTTTCCTGTCCCACCTTCCTCCCACCTCCTTCCTGTTACTTTTGGTTTTGTCGGATGCTCAAACCATCATCTTCACCAGCTAGCATGTTAGACAGGATGATCGAATGCACACAGCCACCTGTTGCATTTCGACCGAGAAAATGGATCAACCAGTTTCACTCCTCGTTTTTTAAAGCAAAACCTAATAAGAAGGTGAGTGGACCTTCTCGGCACCCCCAGTCCAGTCAATGCATCACCAAGCCTTCGACCGGGGAGTCGCGTGCCAACCATGCGTGCTGCACCTGACCGGACATGCGAGCTGCACATCTAAGTTGTCGTTCAATGCAGTGAACTGCCAAGTGGGTGCAACAGTTTTGGGGTGGTTCCTTTATCGTCTCAATTGTAAATCCAGGTGACATTGTATAATATATATATATATATACCAAACACTTTGTCCCGTAATGTAGATTCTTGACTTGATGAATAAACCATCCCAGTCGATTAAAAAGAAACACGAAAAACCTTTTAATCGACGGGGGCATGAATCAGTCAACATTGCTGTACACCCATTCGAGTGAACACGCCCTCTCCAAGTGGTAGCTGGGCTCCCTCCGTACCTCCGGGCTGCCTCCGGGCGTTTCGAAGGTGGTTGGGGTGTGTCTGGGAGGTCGAAACGTGAAAACCACCAGTTTGGTGTACGACCAGAATGACTTCAACATCAGGGGGCCACAAAACCAATGACGTTTATTATATATCATCTGCGGTCACGCATATGTCCCATGGACATTCTAGGGTGTAACAGGTCTCCTTATTACAGTATATGTTATATGTGGAGATGCTCACAAATTTGCTCTCCTGCTGCCGGGTGATTAGAATTTGGTTTGACCCCTCCTTTGTAAAACGTCACAGCACTACTGTCGACTCCGAGCGCGCCTCCTTTCCTGGCTTGGCCCAGGTTTGTAGGGCGACGTTCCTCAGCAAACTGGTCACACCCAGACCATCGGCCAACAGGCAAAGCTTCATCTGCAGCTCACGGTTGGCCCAAGCATTCAGTTTCAACGAGTGTCCATGGCGAATGACCCCATCTTTGGAGGGATCGTGTTGGATCAACCCAGTAAACGCGGTCGTGGGAACATGGCTGCCTCGTAAACGAGTTGCAAAGGAACTAGGCGAAACAGTTGTGCAGTGATGTGGATTTAGCATTCTTTACATGTGCTGCGAAAGGATTGCACGATAAATTTGCCGGCTGTCCATGGGAGCCTTTTCTGCATAGAAATGGGTATTGAGGTATTTGAGCTGAAATCCACAGTCGCCGGCACTGATCTTGATCAAAATCTGGTTTGTTTGGTGGCTTGCAGTCTTGGGATGCTCTGACCTGTGATACCATTGGAAGCTCGCATGGCCAACAGACCAGTCCAACAGCCCGGTTTCTTTGATGATCATGTGGGACCTTTTGTGTTGAGTATCAGAGCAATTCCAAGCACCATGGACCCATGACCCATGGAGTAATACAATTGTACGCCAACTTAATGTCAGGTGTGCAGCAGCTATATCAACGATGTATACAGTATTATTAAGGAGCACTTATGGTGAAGTCAGGAGTGCAAATACGGCCATTCAGATTCATAGCAATTTGATAGTGGAACTACCAGCGTTGTTTGGAAACAAAATGAAACAAACACATAATAGCACAAACATTCAGCCCACACTTCGAAGAGAGCTCGCAAGAGTGCAGTTTGGTAGTCATCAGTTCTGGATTAGCCCTTCAGTGCATTACCAGTTTAGTGCGGAGACGACCTGAAACCTAAAAAACTGACCTTATAAAGGGCCGAGAACAACGGGTGAACTGCTTTGCATCACGGGTCGTCTTGCAGGTACGTCAACTCAGCGTCCCGAGTTGATATCATAGAAAAGTGCAAGCGTCTTTGGCCAGACTTGCACGGTCCCTGGCACCCCTGCATACCAAGTGTATCAATTAGAAGATTCAATTCAGATCTAGGGTGGTAAATGAATCATCGAAGTGTCAAGCCGTCAAGCCCTTTGCTGTGGTCCAACTAGCAGGGATAAATGGTATAATGAATTGAGTATAGACTATATATTATATATTGTTTTTATAATGATGAATCATGTCTCTTTTCAGGTATTGGATTCTGTCAAAGTCTTCTTATTCTTGCTCGATTCAGCTACTACAAGCGAAGCTCGAACGTCGCCCACCAAAAGACCCAGCGATTCACCGTGTCCGACCGAAGCATATGGTCCTGAACCGAAAACCACCTGAAACAACCGAGAGCATCTGGGGATGGCATCTGGAACCATGAAAGCCGAATACCAAACAGGGGATGGTCCAGGAAGGGACACCCCCTCTCGTCGGACTCTGAATAAACTTGTTTGATCTTGTTTGTCTGGAGGTGCCAAGCAGTTAGGTGCAGGGAGCCCAGGGCTTTTAGGGATCCAAGGCAAGACCGACGCCCAAACCCACCGAACACCCACTTGTCGTTTCTTTCTTCCACGGCGCCTCACTCTCGGAAGAACGCCAGTGAGTCCGAAGCCACGCGTTTTGGCGAAGCCTGCAGATTCTGGTAGAACGAAGTCTGACTGTCCATCGCCAGGTTTGAGACATTGAGCAACCCCCAACCTGTCAGAGTCTTGGGAGGGTCACCGACGATCGACCTCTACCTGTCACTTGAGAGGAGGGAGACACGAAAGGTAGGACAGCGGGAAGAGAAGAGAACGCGAGAGGCAGGAACAAAAATGCAATGTTCGACATGGTGATTTATCCCCTCGGAGGCGACCTTTCGTACATATATGTTCATATGCACTTTAAATGTTCAAACATGTGCTCTCGAAATGTTCAAAAAGATTCTTAGGAAAACAAACTTGCCCCATGGCTCAGATCATCGGTGAGCATTGAATCGGAACATCATAGGATTTGAACTATCCTGAAACCAGAAGAGGCTCACGAAGACGCTCCCCAGGAGAGAATTGACGTGCTTCACAAAACAAACTCTAGGTATGTATCCCCTCGGGGAACACCTTTCGTGATTAGAATTTCATATTCACTCTTTCTGAATGTTCAAGAGGGTTTCAACTATCCTGAAATCATGAGAGGCTCACGAAGACGATCTCCAGGAGAGAATTGATTTTAGAGGGGGGGAGGGGGGGGGGG